GAAGTGATTTGCGAAAACAAAAACTTTTATTTACAAGTGTTCCTAACATAAATATTCAAGACAAAAAACAAGATTAAGCTTTGTGCAAAAGCGTGGTGTCTGTGAAGTGCGGGGCTAGGGCGAGCATGGAACAGTCAGGTCACTAAACTGCTGAGACTGGAGTGGGGCTGGTGGAAACTGTGGCAGACCAGGGCACTGAAACGTAGGAGAGGAAAATCAGAACAGTCCAAGGAGTTGTGAGTGTTTCCCCATTTGACAAGCTGGGATGGCTTACGTGTTTGCAGGCGGGGATTAGCTGGAGGTGGAGGCGAGGCAAGGTCCAGGCGAGTGCTGAGTCCGATATAGGTTTGCAGGGAGGCAGGCAGGTGAGAATGGCAGTTTGTCTGAAAAGAATTAAGCAGCAGCTGACCGGAATCGAGAAGCAAGGCTATGGCAAGGTTTGGAATGACGAGTCCAGGTACCGACTAGGAGACAGGAAGAGAGAGGTAGGTAATGCACACTGATAAATACACAGGAACATGAGGCTGTGAATTAACTGAGGTTAGCAGACGATCTGGCGAAGACTCATTGTGTGCGCTGCTCCTAAATACTGCCAGAATAATTGCCTGCAGCTGAGGAACGGGGAGGGGCAGGAAGGGCTCCACCCAGAGGAGGAGAGCTGATGCTGTGGAAAGTTACTCAGGCTCCCCCAGACCATGACAGGGCGCCCTTACTCCCAGCAAATGGGCGATAGGAAACCGATCGGTGCCCATGCCAATCCCAATATGCGCTGGCTGATGTCGGGGCAGCATGAGTACGAGCAATTTTTTATTTTTATTTTTTTTTGCCGATGCCCGTGATGCCGCCCATGTACCCCCTTTGCAGCATTATTCGGGGTGTCTGAACCGGGATGGGCAAGGGACAAGACAGAGACGCAGGTTGTGTCAATGACTACTCTTGTGGCTAGAAAGCTGATACTTCTCAGCTGGAAGTCTGATAAACCTCCTACCTTCGAAATGTGGTTGAGAGAATTTGGAAATGTACTCCATCTGGAGAAAATCAGGTTTACCTTGTCTAACCGAGAGAGTGTGTTTTATAAGATTTGGCAACCACTCATTAGCCTGATGGATAAACATAAGTGAAATATACTCTGTCTTAACATTTATGTATGCTGTATTACCACCTTGTTGACTTGCCGTCCACCTTCTATTGTGTCCTTTTGAAGGTGATTGTTGTATGCTGCTCAATTATAAAATCAATAAAAATATATTGAAAAAAAACAAAACAAACAAAAACAAAAAAAAGTCCCCACACGGAGTGAGACTCAGTCTTGGATGCCCAGATCTGCCAGTGTGGTGTCCAAGAAAGGGAAGGGTTGGTTTGCCAAGTTGGGCTGAACCTCGATGGGCAGTGTCACCAACATGGGGATATCCTGCTCCAGTCTGACGCGCAACATCTTGTTGTGGGACCCCGGGAGCTTCCTGTCTGCCGATCCGCCTCTCCGTCGGCCTGCTCCACAGTCGCCGCCTCCTCCAGAGAGCTTTTTGTGTCATCTGCTGCCAGCTTGACTTGCTGATCTTTATCTCAGGAGGCAGTGGGTTTTTACCCTCTCCCCCTTTGGTCCTGTGCGTTATCGTTTAAAACTCGCTAGCTGCACCTTTTGGCTCCAGCACGTCTTTATTGTTAGAGTTGTTGCTTGCTGTGTTCTTCTGCGGGGTGTTGATGATTCATTGTTCTGCTTCTTCTGATTGTAAACGCCTCTGGAAAGCCTGAATATGTGAGCGCGAACATACAGAGTTCTGCTCTGCCCCCCTGGGTTTATATATGCAGCCAGTGTAAATGTGTGTTATGTATCACTTACATGTTAGGTTCATTAGACTGTCACAAGGGTGATGCACGGATGGTGGTGTTTTTAGGGCCAGGTGTGAAAGTTGAAGAAAGACAATTTGCAAGTTTCTTTTGAAATGTTAAAAGAATGTTGGAAATTTGATCAGAATACAGTAAAAATGAAAGAAACAGATATTTTTCCCAGATCATTGTGTTAAATTGTCAAAATCCCCGTGTTCTTTTTAAGACTATCAGCTCTACTCTAAACAACCCTGAAAGCCTCTGCTGACACATGTAATCAGTTCCTTTCTTTCTTTGTAAACAAGGTCGAGTCTGTCAGGTCAGCAATAGTACT